CCCCGCGCCGTGTCCCGTGGTGGAAGCGCCGCCGGCGCGGCACAGCCCGCCCGGGGTTGCAGGCTCGGTGGAGGGACAACGAGTGGGCAGGGCCCGCCGCCTTCTTTCACCTCACTCCGTGCTTCGGTTCCGGTCCGGGATGTCCCGCGTCAGAGGCTTCGCATTGTGTTTGGCACCGGGGTGTAAGGGGTTGTTCCCTTCAATGGGAGAGATTACGTCACGCCATACTATTCATTCCTCTTCATGTGTCTGCTAAAAATTTGAAAATCTGAGTAAGACAAAACTTCTCCTGGTTGCTCTCAAATCTTTTAACTCTTTTAGCTGTCTTTTAGCGTTAGAAACAGGGTTGTTGCTCTGTTTGATTTAGAGGATTTAGCTAATAAAAGCAGACCGAGTCTTCTGTGTATCCCGGTTGTATGTCCACCGGTGTCTGCACGGAGCCGTTGAAATGAATGGGGCCTAAGCTGAGCCAGCAAATTTGCTGTGTTCTCATTAAGCGCAAGTCTTATCTCTGCTTACAACTATCAATCAAACAAGTCGTGTACCTGTTATGTACGAGATTAGAGCTTGTGGAAGAAAGCTGTCCTGGACTTTTGCTGCATAATTTAGAACGTATCCTTTATTTGACAGAGTGTTTCAGAGACCATCTGTGAATTTTCAAAATAGTTCCACTTAGTGAGGTTATGGGAGAGAAGGAGCCATGTCAGAAGAAGCTGTTACTGAGACACGATCTTCTCTGAAGACAGTAGCTTTACGGGTATTTCACCTTCCCCTTTCCTGGTATTATTCTTTTAACCAGGTAATATATACATATATAAAAATTAAATATTATCACTGCTGATATACATTTAGACGTTTATTTGCAATGTTGTGCTTGCTTTTCTGAGTTTAATGTGAATTGAATTTGTGCAGAATACCTTGATTTTTGGTTTATTTAGAACATTGAACTAAAGTAAGTGGGAGGATTTTGTCTTTTTCTGCTACTAAACACTTAGTACATCTTCATATATTTGACCAAAGAGATTGCTTTATCTGCAATGTCTATGTCTTCATTTTGCAACAGCACAATAGTTCTCATCAAATAAAAGTTGTCTTTTTTATGTAAATTTTGAACAACAGTATTGGGTGTGGTTTGTGATACTTTCTGGATGGCCAGACCACTCACCAAATTAATCTGAATGACACAGTAATGTAAATAAATCCTTGTTCCATTTTTTGAGTCACTTCTGTTTGATTAATCAAGAGGCACGTGACTGAAACAAGGCAGTGTTTCTTTAAAAGCAGGCTGTTTTTTAAACCCATTTAGTTCTTTTTGCCGGTTTTGCTTGTTTTGCGTATGAAAAGATCTCCTTCAAAAAAAATATCTTTAAGGATCTATTAATCACGGTATTTCCTTTTACAGGTAGCCCGGATTTGTTTTTGTTTTCTTTCATGGGTATTATAGGACAGCTTTCACTAGCAACATGGATAGCAGTCATTCCTGATCTTAGTTTTCAGGTTGACAGAAGCTGGAAGTATTGTGAAGCTGATGCTACTTGTCTGCAGGGAATCATAAGAGTTGTCCCTAGAACACCTTCATGTTAAAGACAGGGAGAAGGAGCTGTAATTGTGTTGTAGTGTTAGTAGCCTGTAAGTACGTGTGTGATAAATGACAGAGTGAAATCAGAATTACTTGAGAAAATAAAGTTTCAGTCGTATCCCTCGATCCCTGAGAGAATGAATTTCTTGAAGAGTGAGCTGATGCCATTATAGACAGGAGAAAAAGGAGAGTTTCGGATTGGCTGTACAAAATATCTTCCAGTAGATTTTTTCCCATCCTATGTATGCTGAATCATTGGTAAAGATGCCCTAAAAGAAAAGAAAAAAGTTTATAATTAGAAATACTAATAATTTTTTTAAAAAGTTTAAATTAGCAGGTCCTAATAAAGTTCTGCTTTTAAAACCCATGACTTTAATATGGCTACTTTATTTTTATAGAATTAAATGCTTGTCAACAAAAGCTATGTCATTTTTCATATTAGCATGTAAGGGTTTTTCAAAGTCTTACTGCATATAAAACCAGAATGAGATATTCTTGATCTTAGCTACATCTGATTATTTTCACTTTTGTTTTTCTCCTGTATTTAGAACACTTTAAAACTCTTACTGCAAGATCACTGATTTCTTTTTTACATTGCAGCATATTCATATCCTTTGAAAATACCATGTACAACTCCATTATGTACAACTATTAACTTCCCTGCCCTTGGAGGTTTTCATTTTACTCTTTATTTATGATCATGTTTGTAGGTACCGACAATTTTTTTTAAACTTCTCTTACAGGTCTTTGAAACTTTAGTTCCAGCATTTAATTCTCTGAGCTTTGAGTTTGTAATCTCAGTTACTTGGTTATTAACTTTTTTTCTATGAAATACCATAATCTTTTGTAAGCATGTGCTGTTTCAGGGATTTCCTTTTCCTTGCAGGGTGCAGAGCTAGGTTTTTGCCTCAGTCAAGGTACAGTACCAAAAAGTCAAAGATGTTTGACTTGTTGATTGCAAACTCAGTGCGGAGCAAAGTTTTCAATGCTTCTTTAAATTACTCAGCTCTGATAGTATGAACCAACTGTACAGCAACCAGGGACTACCAGAGTGTAATGATGCTCAGTGTCGCCAGCTCTTGTGTGAGGAAATGTTACAGAAACACCATGTTAGCCCCAAGAACTTCAGATCTGGTTTTGTCCCAGCCTTCTGTTTCTCAGACAACATAGGTTTTCTAAAGATTTTGTGAACATGGACTCTAGTTTCCAGTTAAATGGCTCTTTTCTTCTTTATGTATCTTGGCACTTTGAATTTGATAAACTGTCAATGACTTTTAATTCCAGTTATGTTTGTTACAATTTGAGTTGTGTATGTGGTTCTTATTTGCTGTTTTAGACATCTCTAAACCTAGGACTGACATATATCCAAAATAAAACATAACAATTAAAAATACAAATATTTATTTAGATAAATATGTTTATGTTCTTCCCAAATTGAAACACCTTACGAATGTTAGCTTTTGGATCCTCTGCTCTTCTGCAGTGCAATAAATAGTCTAGTTGTGAAGGGTGAGTTTCTTCCTGGTATTTTTTTTGCTGTTGGAGAATTAATTGAAGCCCTGAACTGTTCTGGCATTTAAAAAGAAAAAAAAAATTTAAAATAGTCTGAAAGTCATTCACTTGAATCCCCGTAGTTTGTGGATTTTCAATATACCGTACAGTTCTCAGTGCTGCAGTAATTTAGTGCAGCCACTCACTTTGTCACACCAGCCCCTTTGAAACCTCTCTCACCTCCTGGCCATCACAGCTTCTGAGAAGCTGTTAGTCTCTGTCCTTACGCAGAGCTGGTTGTTTCTCAGGCAATGTGAGAGCGGCATCTTTTCCTCAGACAAGCTGTATCTGGGGTTGAACACACCAAACAAGGGTAGCAGAAAAGATGGGAGCTAAGGATCATATATTTCCAACAAAATCACATACTTTTATTTTCAGATAAAGCTTTCACCTGGGTTAAAGAAGCTTTTCACAGTAACAGCAGTGAGTGCAATATCTGTTATTTTTCTGGCCCATCACTTCAAAAGAAGACGTGGAAAGAAAAACAAGAAAGTGCAGCCATGGGAGCCAAGTCATCTAGTATTAGAGTGTACCAAAGCAGCTGCATCAGAAAAAGGTACATGAAGGAACCTCCACGTTTTTTTCTTGGAGGGAAGAAAAAAGGGTATGAGGGGATGGGTGTGTATAACTGTGTAGTAGTAAACTAAAATTTTCCTTTCATGATGAGTAGGTTTGAATTGTTAAATTAGAAATTGTGCAAATTAGGAGCAAAATATAAATGAGCTGGTTTTATTCTCAGGCGAAGTTTTAATCCTGAATTTGGATTAAAGCTTTTTATCAGTTGTATATTAACAGTGGTGTTTGTTGTTCTTGTGGATGTATTTCAGTACTGAGAGAGGCACTTTTAATTTTTTTATAGGGTGAGGAAATAATTGCACTCTGATGCATGGTGGTTGTTTTCAGATATAGACTGTTCTAATTTGCAGTTTCTTATATGGAACTGTAAATAAAAGAATAACTGTTTCTTTCTAAACTGGATTTTACTAAAAAGAATAAACACAATTTTTTATAGCTCTCGATAGCAAAAGATACATTTTGAGTTTTCAGCAGATTTAAAATCGGTGTATCTCTTAGGTTCTAGCTGTTCCAGTAGTCGGCAAAACTTGACTCTTTCTCTGAGCTCTGCCAAGGAGAAAGGATCTCAGTCTTGTATCTATGCAAATGGAGGACTTTTCAGTAAATATTCTGGTTCAGTTCAAAGCCTGGCTTCGGTAAGTAGAAATGTTTTACAGCTCTTGAATGTCTGTTAACTTGCACTCAATATGCACCTGGTGGTTAAACAACTATGCTGAACAAGCTACGCGGAAGGCTAGAGATGCTGAGAAGGCCATGATACTTACTGTATAGTAAAACCAGTTTATAGGCAGATGGCTTGGATGTCATGCACTCTGGTAAAAATGTAGTTTTAAGGATACTCTGCGTACAAAATGTGTTTATTTTTCCAAAGGTTCAGAGCGCCACCTCTTGCCACAGTTGTGCTTGTGTCAATTCTAATTCCTGGGATAAAGCAGATGAAGATGATATTAAGCTTGTCAATATTCCAGTGACCACACCTGAAAATTTATATTTGATGGGTAAGTTATAATATCACTATTCAACATCTACCAACAATGAATGTGAATAATATTTTGGCTTTATGGTGAAGTGACACACAATATTATTGTGCTTTTATTTCACACTGTCATGTGTCTAAGAATACATGTGCCAATGCTGGCATGTGTTGGCGTGTGTCTAAGAATATTTCCATAAAATAATGAAATCTTACTTTATCTGGCGTTAGTTTTTCAAAACACATTTTTTTATTCCTATGTTTATTTTAGGAATCATTAAAATAATTTTTAAACGCAAATAGGAAAAATTACTTTCAACGTTGTTGCTTTAATTATATTGTGAACATCTTTGTCTTATTAAAAAGGCAGATACCTTTTTTTGAATATTGGGAATTGCTGTTGTTTTAAAAACTTAAATCTCTGCTATAGTCATGCTTCTCAGTTACCTCTTTTCCTGCGACTGTGAGAAGTGAATACGTATGGAAGCTGTGTGCTTGATGGAATGGAGATATTCCTGATCTCCCCTAGGTATGGAGCTTTTTGAAGAAGCCCTGCGTCGGTGGGAGCAGGCATTAACCTTCCGCAACAGGCAGGTTGAAGATGAAGCAAGTTGTGGTTCCATTAAGCTGGGAGCAGGAGATGCAATTGCAGAAGAAAGTGTAGAAGTGAGTAATTAAATCGTAGCCTCCTGTTGCTTCCCTGCCAACTCACCGCGTTTTGTTACCTCAGTCTTTTAAACTTCTCATTCAGTTACCAAAACTGAAAATGAATTCAAATTTCCAATGTAATGATGTTGCATTTAAATGACATCTAACTTTGTTCCTTTTGATTTTCTTGGCTGGTTATTTGGAGGAAAGTGGGGGGAGGAGCTAGTGTTACTTATTTTTTTGCAATTGCTGTTGCATCAGTTTGCTTCTGGATGGTATTGTCCAGTAACCAAGAAAACAAGTTCTCTACACAAAATCCCTTGTGTCATCCCTTGTGTCTTATGACTATGTGAGAAGATACCTGCTAAAGCAAAGATAAACGTCTTAGGGAAGGTGATCAGTTTATGAATATTCACAAATAGTGTGCTTGAACCTTATTTGTATTCCTTTGTTCTTATGAACTAAATTATGTTAAAAATATTTTGAAATCAACATCCATCTGTCTGGCTTTCATATTTCTAGTGCAGTAAAAATCACAGATAATTTTAAAATATTTTAAAATTTAGATTTTATTTTTCTTACAGGAAATAAAATGTGTGTATGTGTAGAAAATCGTGTCTATTTCGGATGTTGAGGTATTCATCTGACAGTGTCCTTGTGCTGTTTGTAGGAAATTAATGTGTCACAGTTGCTCTTTGAAGGCTTAATATTCTTAGATTTTACAGAGGAATCTTAAAGACTGTAAACAAATAGAAAGTGTTCTCATCTCTGTCTTCTTGCAGGATATCATTAGTGCTGAATTCATTCATAAGCTTGAATCCCTTCTTCAAAGAGCTTATCGTCTTCAGGAGGAGTTTGAAGCCACTCTTGGGGCCTCTGATCCTGCTTCTCTCGCTAACGATATTGGTGAGTACTCCTATTTTATCTTTTTTTTGTTTGTAATGATGACTCTTGGAGGGGGGAAGTCTCTGTAGTGTCCAGTGAGCAGAATTATATTTATCAGTAAAGAAAGAAAAAAAAAAAATCACATTCTTTATTATGAAATATTTGATGTCATACTTGCATTTTTAGGTAAGAATGGACAGACAGAGGAAACTTTTTTTCTTTGTGAACTGTCAGTATACTTGAGAATTTTCAAAATACATTTTATCTTTCTGAAGTGTTTGACAACTTGGGTATTTAAGTATTTATGTCATAGGAATATATTGCCCTTTTTATAGCATGGGTGTATTAGAGCACTTATTGTATTTTTTTTTTTGTTATCATTTTTTACAAAAAATAAAAACACAAACAAACAAAAACCACACCAAAACTAAACAAACCAGAAAGACTTAGTCTGAAACAGATATCCATCACCAAAGCTTATACCCCTGGTGATTTATATTTGTCACACTTACGACTGACTAAAGCCAGGATGTGTTAAAATAGCAGATGTAATGAAAGTTGCTGTTGGACATGCTGATTAAGTGCAAGTAGTTTGATTCAAGAATTGGTTTAAGATGTTCTTAAAGACTGATACTTTTATTCTCTTTCATGATTCAAGTATCTGTTCTCAAATAATTGTCAGACTTTAAAGGCAGAATATGTTCTAGGATTAATTTTAGTCACTAGTCTTGTTTGTTGGGCCTCAGCTTGACTGGCACAGGGTGGCAGTACTCTCATTTCTTAGCCCTCACGTTATCCTGCAACTACTAAATACAGCTCTGAGTAAGGTGGGAATTAAATTTAGGTCAGAGTTAGCTTTCTGACATTCCTGTGTACACCTGTTTCTTAAAGCAGAAAAGCATTTAAGTGTTTTATTTTTGTGTCTGAAACCATAGGCCTGAAATGCTGGGGTTTGAACCCCGAGTCCCGAATTAAGGTTGACATATGAGTGATTCCCACAGCCCTTCATACAGAGGTGGTGAGTTTGCCTTATAGCTTCCCCCCAGGGTGCGGCCGGCCCTGCAGGGAGAGCCATAAGGGAAATGAGCCCCAGGGGTCCCACAGTGAGTTGACAAAGGTCAGGGGTCTGCTTGGGGATAAAAGCTGGGACCACTGGCAGGAAGGGAGGAGTGTCTGCCTGTGAAGTGGACACACTTCACAGAGCTTCCTGGTTGGGGAAGGACCTCGTGACTCTCCTGGAACTGGGCACCCCCCCCACCCCTCACCCCGGTCAGCTTGGATGCTTGCAAATGCCAGCTAGGGAAGAGAGAAATATGTGGCTGCCTTTGTCTTATATGATTAACTTGTTGACTTGGTTGTCTCCCATTCCATCTATGGGAGACTTCAGTTCTTTATTTGTTCCACCTATTGTTGGTCATGCGGTATCGTTGTTGGGGTTGTAGGGGGTGATGTCAATTGCTTGTGAACTAATTGACTTATTTGTACCCCTGGCAATCATCCATGTAGTGACCTTTCTGTATTCAATACAGTCAATTTACTGGTTTGTCTTCCTGCTGGCTGTGTCATTTATGCTAGGCCTAGTAATTGGCAAAACAAGGCGCTAAGTAAAGTTGCATTGTATATCCATTATTAAATTATAAGTTTATTTACTTTTTATCTTCCTGCAAAATTAATAATAATAAAAAAGGATTCAGTGTGATGTTACTGTTTTGCTTGGTTAGCCTGGAAGTATTTTTAAATTGATAATTTTTTTTGATGTGATGTCTGGATTCTTGTTTAACAAGAATGTTCTTAGGATTTAATTACTGTCAAATATTTTTTATAAAAGTCATTTGAGAAGATGTCTGTTGCTTTATTAATTTTATTTGTGCTGTCCCAGATGAGTGATGAAAACAAGTAATGAAGTGGTTTAGTGAGTAGTGTTTTCACAGTTCAGGATTTGGGGCTTTTTCATTGTTATCTTGAACTTATGGCTAAAAGAGCAAGTAATTTATTAAAGAACACTTTACTTTTTCAGAATGTTTTAGAACAAAATCGGAAGAACATAATTTGCTTCCAATTTATTACAGAGGATGTTTTTGTTCAGTAGAACACCTTTTAATCACTCAAGATTTTATAGATAATTTACTTTCCTGTAGGATATGACACTGAGTGTAGTTTATGAATGTTTGAAGTAGGATATTTCTGAGATTGACAGTTTGTGGTAACTTCCCTGGGAGGTACTTTTCTGTCTGACCCAGAAACATGCTTTTCTGTCTCTTCCAGAAACACGTTTGAGAGAATCCTAGAGGCTCTCTTGGCTGTTTTATCTTCCTGCTGCCCTCCCTTTCTCTCCTCCCCCCCCCCCTTTTTTTTTTTTTCTATTTTTGTATTTGGTAATTTAGTGAAAGAAAATGAAAGCTGCTGTCAACAGGCTTTCCTACCCCAAAATATACAAATTAATATGTAATGATTATTTTGTCTAATTTCTATTCAAAGCTTTGTATTATTCTTTCACGAAGTATGCTAGTATAAACATTGATCATCTTTTTTGTGTGCACACATGCATGTTTTAACAACAGCAACAGAAGGGCTCAAGAGTCACAAAAATAAGCAGGTCCAATGAAAATGATGAAACCCCAGTGACTGAAAGAAATAGTTGCTAATTTGCAGTTGTTACCACAGACAAGATAATAAAAAGTGTAATTAGTGCCAGTTGATATGGTTTCCTGGTAAGTAATTTTTCTTGGACTAAGGTTTTTGAGAGATCTGCAATTTGAGGGATGATAATGATTAGCTCCCTGGCAAAATATGTTTATACTGCTGTCCACTGTTAAGGGAAAGATTTGCTTTCTAGGGAAGATGTTTGGTCAAATGCTCTAATTATCAGCTATGTAGTAAATAGTTTGTGGAACTGGAAGTTGATTAAAAAATAACCCCAAACATTTAGGGCATTAAAAACATTGAATTAATAAAGAGGAAAGGTTAGTAATACTGATCTGAATTATTATCATTTATTATTATTTAAGTTACTACAATTTAACAAATACTTTTTAATCCAGGCAAGTATGGATTGTACATACAGAAGAGAGAGGTTAAAAGAAAAATAATGAAGAAATACTCTTGTAATTCATTAGGCAAATGGTGCATCACAGTCAGTGTAATTTTCCAGCACAGTGCTGTATTAAAAAGACAATTGCTGATCTTTGGCTGTGTGAAATGGATAACTTCACCACAGAGGCCGAGATACAATCCTGGGTTTGTGTGGTTTGTGAATACTGTGTCCAGTTCTGTTGTCATATTTCAGAAGATAGGTAAATAGCTCAAAAAAAGCCATAAAAATTATCTGTATTTTGGAAAATAAAGCTAATACATAGTTTTAAGTTTTGTATATCCAGCTCCTTATTGAAGAAAATACTTAGAGATAAATTGTTCTCAATAGCCACTTACACATAGAAAAGGTATGTGGTGCTGGAGCATTTATAGACCTTGTTGTCAAAGTCGTAACCAGATCTATTTTCTGGTTGTGCAAGTGAAACAAATTAAGTTCTGAAGTAAATTGCCACTGAAGCGTGTTGAGGATGTTTTCAGTGTTTTAGACAAAGATAATTTTTTTTAAAATGCTGTTCTGAGGGATGATTTTACTCCTCTTTGAGATGAAAAGATGGACTTGGGTATAAATGGTCATTGTGGTCTTTCTGGCATTTAAGCCTTTCTCCATACTACTATTTTTTCTTCTTTAGTGGGCATTGGTATAAACAAGAAGTCTTTGTCCTTAATAGGTTCCTAACACTTGCATCTCTTCATTAGAATGCTTATAACCAGCTCTTATGCTTTAGGGCTTCAACTGTTGACCCACTGTGGTAATCAGATAATGTTTTGCTTTGTTTTTTCTGTGATATTCATGGTGGTTAGATATAGTTTGTGGGTTTTTTCTTCCATTTTTTCCCTCTGAAGCACTTGTGATTATTGACAGGTGGAGACAGAGCTCTGGAGTTAAACAAATGCTATAAAGCCTTATCAAAAGACTTGCTACATAAATGTCTGACTAGCACTTCTTACTAGGAAACCCTAGCTTATAATGAGCTCCACATTTGGTCAGAAAGGAAACTTGAATATAAAAATTTCCATCCATTTCTAGTTTTCAGTTTTCTCTGTAAAATCTTCTGCCAAACTTCTGGGCTTCTGAAACCACTCTTCTCTGCTTGTCTACCAGTAACAGATGTTACTTCCCAAAACCTTTAAATATTATTGTTCCCAGGTTGTCATTTCCCTCTACCCAGTTAAATTAAGATCTTATTGCTGCCATGGATCAATTATACTACAGACTTGCCTTTCATTTTGTGATCCCACTTACTAGTTGAAGTTGGTTGACATGATAAATGATTTGCCAGCCAGCTTTGAGAAGCAGCCTTCTGGAGGACACAGTGGTAACGAGTTACCTGGGAAGCCTGTTGGAATACAATAGCTTGTCACTGCAACCACTGTCTTCCATGATCTGGCCTGAAGTGCTTCTCTTCTGTCTGCTATGACAGGTAAAAGGTGACTTGTCAGAGCAGGCAGTCATCACTTGAAGTGGTTGCATGCCACTGTCTAGTTGTTTTTTGTTTGATTCTTGTGTAAACTAGCACATCTAACTCAGAAATACCTAAATTAAATATTTTCCAGATATTTCAAATTATTCAACTAATAGCAGTGCAAAAGATACAGGAATAAATAAATACCTTTTATTCCTTTAGGTACAATTCTTTTAATATTAGCAATGGTAATAATAAAAACTGCAAATAGTAATTTTCAGCTGTGGAGGCTTATTGTTGAGTTATAAACAATGAATACACCCCTGGAAAAGAATTGCATTTTAAATAGATGAAATAATGGATTGCAATTAGGTTCCTTGTTGTTGCATTCTCCACTGGACTTACAGAATTATATAAACCAGCAAGATAAAACAGGATTTCTATAGCAGAAATATTTTTGGACAGGAAACTAAAACAAATATGTAGGGCTAAACTGCTGTTCATGTTATGTTGATTGTTTGAGGA